CAAACTGGAGTGAGTTAACCTAGACTCAAATCCTTTTTCGCTTAGTAGGTGTCTTTGAGAAAGTCACAAATCTCTCCCTACCTTCTCTGAAAAGACTGTTAATCAACTGTATGCAAGTACAGCAATCAGGAAGCCTAGGTTATGCCAGAATTGAATTCAAGCCCCAGGTGACTTCATCCCAATCTCATTCAACTCCACAATAGCAGTAAAGCAGGCAATGTTGTGTCCACTTTAGTTATGACAACTGAGACTACGAGACGAGCTCAAAGTTCCAAAACCCAAGTTTTAAAACAATGGATAATCGAATTCCAGGGACCAGGTCTAGCCATTGGCTGTCCACAGGCGCTCAGTCTGTTCATTCACAGCCCTCAGCATCAAACTGCTGCCTGGTACTCACCAACCACAGCTCTGTTGGCTGAGGAGATAACCTTCTTGGAGCCAGAAGGCAGCTTCACACGGGTCTTCTTGGTCTCAGGGTTGTGGGAGATAACGGTGGCATAGTTCCCAGATGCCCGGGCCAGCTTGCCACGGTCTCCAGGCTTCTCCTCCAGGCAGCACACGATTGTACCCTCAGGCATGGTGCCCACAGGCAGCACATTGCCAATGTTGAGCTGAGCTGCAAGGGGAAGCAGCATCAGGCGGTCAGCGGAGTAAGAGGCAATGCGAACCCACTCGCTCTAGGCAGCCCGCTAAGTTGCCAGCACAGCATTCAACATCTGGCCTCCCGGTACAGCTCTCTGGACCCCCACCAAGCTCTCGCCTGAGAGGTTCCTACACAAGTTTAGGGCTTTAACTCCTTAAACCCCTCCTTTCGTCCCCACCCCGACATTCCTTCCCCGCCGCGATGCTAACCCTTCTTGCCACAATACACGAACTGGCCCGTATGAATGCCCTCGGCGGCAATGAACAGCTCCGTCCGCTTCTTAAACCGGTACGGGTCCCGGAAGACCACCTTGGCAAGAGGCGCGCCGCGGCCTGGGTCGTGGATGATGTCCTGTGGGCCGAGGTGGCTTGAGTGTGGCGTCGCGGCCGGGTGTCCCGTCCCCTCCCGCCCCGCCCCGCCCCGCCCGGCGCTCCGCACCTTCACGATGCCCTTTATGTAGCCGTGCCGCTCGGCGAAATCCACGGCGCGCAGGCGCGCGGCGCCCTTACGGTGCTTCACGTGCGCGCGGAACACAGACCCGGCACCCTTCCTCTGTCCACGGATCACGCGGCCCATGGCGACGAGTCCTGGGGGCGGCTCAGTTAGCGTGTCCGGGCGGCCCGGGCACCCCTGCCAGCCCGGCTTTCCGGGACCCCGCCCCCGAGGCCGCCGCGCCCACCACCCGCTACGCTCTCCGCGGGCGCGCGCGTTGGCACCCTCCCAGGAACACCGGCCTGCGTCTCCGCGCGCCTCAGGGAGGAGGATGGCGGCGGATAGTGCCGATGCCGCAGGGCCGCAAGCACAACCTACCTGCTCCCGAGCGTGGCCGAAAGAGGAAACACGGCGTTCGCGAGCCGCCTTATCTTCCGGGGCGGGGCCTAGAGCCGCGACACCTTCCGGGTGCGCCACGGCCAGCCGAACGTGGTGCACGCCGGGGTTTGTAGTCACCAGCGGCCGCAGGCCCCGCCTACTTCGTCGCCTGGGCCCCCGACCAGGCGCAACGCGGAGTCCTGATGTGCACCGGCCCAGAAGGAGGGCGAAGGCATGCTAGGTCTTCACAGGGGTCTGGAGAAGGACAAGTGTTCTCTGAGTGGCCGAGGAGGCGCCGAGTGGTTGAGTGACCTGTCTAGGGTGTCACAGAGCGACCCACTCCGGGCTACGGGGTCCGGGCTTCCCAGCTTTGCCTGGTGAGGGGCATCCGTGTAGGCTGAGGGGGTTCTTGCTGGTGCAGAGCAGGAGATGGGCGGGGGAGACGCGCGGACCCACTTGTGGAACGTCGTGGTTTGCAGGTGGCAAACGTCCGTCTCCCTGATGAACGGGCGCTCCTGGACGCGGGGACCTTGTCCACTGTAGGCCCTTGGAGAGGTCGGACGTCGAGGAGAGGAGCCCGGGGATCCTTGCCAAAAGTGGGGAGGCCAAGCTGTGGGGTCCCAAGGGCGAGGAAAGGGAGGGACTGGGTCACCTGCTGCGGAGAGGACGAATATCGGGAGACTGGACCGTACCCTGAACAGAACCCTGTGCGGGAGAGGTGGCTGGAGGGGCTGTGGGGGCCTCCACAGCTGGAAAGAGCCTGGCTGGAGGTGTCCAGCGGCAAATGCTGTGGGAAGGAGCTTCGCAGAATCAGGCGCCTAACGGGCGAGACCCCGAGGCCGGGGGCGGGGAAGAGGTTGTTCAGGAGAGAGTCCTTGGCTGAGTGAGCACTGTCGAGCACAGGCGGGGCCGTGGATCAGGAGGCAGCGAGGAGGTGAGGGAAGGGGCCCAGTGGGCAGGAGAGACAGGAGAGGGTGGAAGGGGTGACCTGTCGCCGCTGCTGCTCACAGGGGAGAGGCGGGGCTACTGCAGGAGGCCCTCCCTAGGGTCGGCAGGGGGATCGAGGAGGAGCTAGCTGCCAGGTGGGGACTGAGGAAGCAGCTCAGCCCACAGCAGGGCGAGGGGCTGAGGGTCAGGACTGGACCTTGGCGGTAGGGTGAGGGGTTCTGGGGTCAGCCCAAAATTGGCCCACGGGCTCAGCCTATGCCTCACTCCTGAACAAGTCTGTTTCTACTCCAGAGGAGCAGGAGAGTTGGGTGTGGGATAGAGGTGAGAAGAGTGGTCGGACACAGAGGCTGTCTCATGGGTCTCTGTGATGACATGCAGCTACCAGGACCCTAGGTGCAGCCAGGAGGCTGACCAGGCCATTTTAAGGCTCGAAGAGAGATGGCCCTGCCAGCATGCACCCCAGTCCTGAGGACTATATCACGGGGCTTTATTCTTCACGTGAGGCCACCCAGCCTGGCACACAGCAAGGCTCTGCAGTTCTGGGTCACTTGACAGCCACTCCAGGCAAGGCAGCAAGCACTGGACATGGAGTTTTCCAGCCTTCTGGGGTGGAGCCATCTTTCTTAGGCCAGGATTAGGCCCTCCCCCACACAGTGCCTCTGCTTGTTCTGGAGGCCTGGCCTCTCGGGCCATCTGAAGTCATCCCTAACCTGCTTTTCAAACTTTATTCTTAGAAATTCTTTATTTTCCTTTGAAATTGTTCTCAAATATTTCTTGTCACATACATGCAGGAGTAATGTGGTATAAACATGAAAAACTGTGATCCTCTGTCTTGCTCAGCTTGGCTCCCCTCCCCCGCCAGCATTATCTGCCTGCACCCCCCAACCCCCGCAACTGATGTGTCCTTCTCTGCCTGCCCCACCAGGAAGAAAAATGATGGTTCCTGGTCTGTCTTGTGCTCAAATCTGACCCTGCTCCCAACCAGCTATAGCTCTGGATGAGTCCCTTACCTTCTTTAGGCCTCATAGCTTCTCCCAGGGTCGGGTTGCAATTCAGAGGATCTGAAAACCTAGAGTTCGTGAAACTATCTCTATAGAGGTGAGTGGACATTTTTCAGCACACAAAGTTTCTTGAACTGTTGTTTCTCCTACTTCCATGATGGTTTCACAACACAGTTTAGTGGCTAAAGAATATGTGACTTGAAAAAAATTAAATTATTCAATTAAAAAAAAAAGTGTGATTTGGAGCCAGGTCTGTGGGTTGGATCCCAGCTCTGTTAATTAAGAGATGAGAACTTGGCCAGACACAGTGGCTTATGCCTGGAATCCTAAAGTGCTGGGATTACAGGTGGGCAGATCACCTGAGGTCAGGAGTTCGAGACCAGCCTGACCATGGAGAAATACCATCTCTAGCTTGAGATCTGAGGCAAGAGATCGAACCATTGTACTCCAGCCTGGGCAACAAGAGCAAAACTCTCGTCTCAAAAAAGAAAAAAAGGGCCGGGCGCGGTGGCTCACGCCTGTAATCCCAGCACTTTGGGAGGCCGAGACGGGTGGATCACGAGGTCAAGAGATCGAGACCATCCTGGTCAACAAGGTGAAACCCCATCTCTACTAAAAATACAAAAATTCAGCTGGGCATGGTGGCGCGTGCCTGTAATCCCAGCTACTCAGGAGGCTGAGGCAGGAGAAT